TCTCCCTCTCCCCCTCTCCCTCTCTCCCTCTCTTTCTCTTTTGTCAGTCATGGGGCCTGAACTCTGGGCTTGAGCACTCTCCCTGAGCTCTTCAGCTCAAGGCAAGTGCACTTGAGCCACAGCACCACTTCCAGTTTTCTGGTGGTTAACTGGAGATAAGAGTCTCACAGACTTTCCTGCCCAGGCTGGCTTTGAACCATGATTCTCAGATCTCAGCCTCCTGAGTAGCTAGGATGACAGGTGTGAGCCACTGGCGTTCAGCATTTCTTTTTCTTTCTTTTATTTTTTTCCAAAGAGAAATTATTTCCAGATCTGTACTTTTCTCCTTAGTAATAGTTTTCTTATTGTAGTAATGTGGTAGCTTGAGAGCCTTTGCTTGTGTTTTAACACACCTGAGTCCTTGTCACACTTGGATGCAAGGAAGCAGCTACGTGTGAGCAGTTTGGGGGCGTGGACTCTCACATTGTCTTTCCCGTGGTACTGGGAAGTGAACTGGGGTGCTCTACCGTTTGTGCTATGCCGCAGCCTGACAGCGGCTTTTCAGATGCGTGGAGGCGCAGCTCTACTTGCACACAAAAGGTTTCTGGAGGCGCCCTGGGCTTACTGTGCTTCTGTTTCCTACAGGCTTGTTCTATAAGGGACCCCAACAGTGGATTCGTGTTTAATCTTAACCCACTCAACAGTTCCCAAGGATATGTGGTCTCGGGCATTGGGAAGACCTTTGTGGTGAGAGTGATTCATATTTCCACTTAGGTTTGAATCAGGGAGAGCACATTGGGTTTCTTATAGCTGGTGGGGGAGGGGAGGAGAAGCTGTCTTACAGAGTCACTGAGCACACTGACAAGCAGAGGGGCTCACAGCGATTCACAGCGTCACCCTTCTACCACTGTAGCACCTGGCACAGTTCAGGTGTGGGGCAGTCATTCTTCCTGACCTGCCGCTCTGTGTCCCCAGAGCAAGGTGGAAGGCCCTGACTTGGGCTTGTTAGAAATACAGATACCTGGGCTAGCTCCACACTTGAGGAGTCAGCAGCTCTGAGCTAGACCAGCAGTCTGATTTAACAGGCGCCTCAAGTGGTTGTGCGACCCACTGAAGTTGAGACCACTGACTAGTCAGGAGAAACCGGTGATTAGCTCAGCTTGTAAAAGGAAGACTGCCTGGGCAGAGAACTGGTGACTCAGCTGGTGATCCTAGCTGCTAGTGAGACTGAAATTGAGAAGATTGAGGCTCAAGACTAGTCTGGAAGAAACCGGTAGCTGCAGGGCTTCTACTTTATAGATAGACAAGTGCTCTATCCCTTGAGGCACATGGCATCTCTAGTCCTGAGAAGATTTTACAGCACCTTGATTGTGACTTTCTTATAGCAGCGTCTGAATTAAAACAATGGAGTAAGTGTTAAGAACAGGCAGTTGGCAATGAGAACATTGTAGAGTAATTAGTCGCAGAGGAGGGCTGTGTTTGAAGCCCCACAGGCAGACGGCGGATGGCAGTCTCCCGCCAGGAAAGCTGGGCAGGGTTAGCCCCTCAGCTGTCTTTTGTCCTCCTACCCTGTGCTCCAGCGTGTTTGTATGAGGCCTTTCATTTCCCAGTCATAAGTAGTGTGTTTAAATCACCGGAGTGTTAGCTTTACAGTGCTGTAAAGTTGGGTTTATACCAGATGGCTGATGAGCAGCTGATAGCCAGGGAGAATTATCTGTCTGCAGGACGAGTGAGAGGCACTGGTTTTGGGAATGCATAGGGAAGGGGCTATCAAGGGTGGTCACAGCCCTACAGAGGCCATTGTAGGACAGACCCGAGAGGTACTGTAACCATGGTGTCAGGATGTGACGTGCACACACAGTTCTCAGATGGCAGAGAGTGACAGTGTATAGCGAAGGTGGAGAAGTTGCTCAGAAGAGAAGTCAGATGGCTACCTCCCTCCTCCAGCAAGGCTCAGCCCCCTGAATACTTCCCGGGGGCCCACAAAATGGCAAGCCATAGCCTGGGCTTCTCCCAGCTCTGTTGTCAGCTTGCAGGCAAGATTTGGAAGGAAAGAGGGAACCTGTTTCTGATCTCTATGGTACTGGCACTGGAGTTGGAACTTAGGGCCTTGTGGACACTAAATGCAATATATCATACACATTTGTGATACTCGGATGGATGGATACACAGCATACATACATGCATGCATGCATGCATACATACATACATACATACATATGGGTGTATTAAACCTTAGAGGAAATTTTTGGGTATTGCTGCTGTTTGGATCAGCTTACATTTTTGCCTTTCTCACTAACTATAACTTAGTTCCCCAAACATAGAGCATTTGTAATTGAGCGATAGTACTGGATTAATGTGTCTGTGGTAAGTCATGGGACTTAAGTGCACTTGCGTGATTCCCACTCTCTGGTCGCCAGTTCAACATCTGCGGCACGGTGCCTGCCTGCGGGACCGTTGGTGGAAAGCCAGCCTTTGGCTGTGAGGCTGAAACCCAGACAGAAGACCTGAAGAACCTGAAGCCAGACAGGCCAGTTGGGTTTGAGAAAAGTCTCCAGCTGTCCACTGAGGGCTTCCTAACTCTCACCTACAAAGGCTCTTCCCCCAATGACAGAGGTGAGTGCAGTTCTACCACCTGTAGCTAACAGGGTCTGGGTGCTGTCCCTCAGCTCTTCAGCCACAGCACCACTTCTGGTTTTTCTGGTGGTTTATTGGAGATAAGAGTCTCATGGACTTTCTTGCCCGGGCTGGCTTTGAACCGTGATCCTCAGATCTCAGCTCTCTGAGTAGCGAGGATTAGAAGCGTGAGCCACCGGCGCCTGGCTCCTGAATTTTTTTGTGTGTACACAGGTACTGAGGCTTCAACTCAGGGCCTCAAGCGCAGCTCCTCTTCCACTTCTTTTCTTACTAACATTAGCACCTGGGCTGGCCTTGCACTATGATCCTCCCAGCCTCTCCTTCCTGAGTAGCGGGGATTTTAGTTGTGAGCCACTGTACTTGGCTGGCTGAGAAATAAGTGGTATTTTGTTGTTGCTTAATTATTTTTTGGTAGTTTCAGGGACTAGAGCTTGCCAAGCCCTTGAGCCATACCCCTGTCCTGGGAGGAGCCGTGTTCTATATGGTGCATTAGGAGTTGACAGCAAGAAGTCACACATTTCAAAGGAGCTAATGTGCAGTTTATATCTGAGGTGATAGGTACACCAGTTACGCTGCTCTAACCCCTGCATAAACAGTTTAAAAAGAGCCCAGAACACGGGCCTGGGGCGTGCACACAGCCGTGGCTTCCCGCACGCTGTGCCCTGTGCCCCTACCTCACCCTAGCAGCTCCCTGCCCCTGTCCTCCTCTTACAGAACAGTGAGTATGCAGCAGGCAGGGATACTCCTGAACGTTAGATCAGATGCGTCACGTGCCAGTTCAGAGCCTCTGGGGACTTACTGTCACACCCAGAGTAGAGGTCATTAACCCACAGGGGCGTGGGCACTGTCGGCTCTACATCACCTCCCGTGCTCTGCCCACTTGGTCTTGTTGTCTCTGTCTGAGCCCTGTGCGCTCTGCCTGCTCTGCCCCCAGCTCAGCTCTGGACGGCGTTGTCCTTGTCTTTGACCCTTACAGGTGTCTGGTGTAGTAGATGAGAGTTAGTTGTCTTCTGGTGTTTGCTTGAATGGATGTGGGCCTCAGGTAGAAGGAGGCTGTGCAGTCCCCGCTGTGAGCCTGCTGGCGGTGGCGCTCCGGGTCTGGGCCGCCTGGTGACTCGAGTGGCCTTGTTCCATCCACAGGCACTGCTTTCATCATTCGCTTCATTTGCAATGACGACAAATACCCGGGAACCGCCAAATTCCTGCACCAGGACATTGACTCTGCCCGCGGCATCCGGAACACCTACTTTGAGTTTGAAACTGCCTTGGCCTGTGTTCCTTCGCTAGTGGATTGCCAAGTCACCGGTGAGGCCGGGGGATTAGACAGGAAACGATTGAGAGTGGGGTGGGTATGTGTACGTATAGTATATGTGTGTCTCTGTGCATGTGTGTCTCTGTGTGTTAAACATGAGCATGCTGTAACAGCATATTGTACATGTGTGAATGTGAATGTGCCATGCTTATTTGTGTGTATTTTGTTCATGTAATTTACATATTTTATAGGCCATGTGACACTAGCATCACAGTTTTTACAAGTTTAGGATTGTGATGTTTTTCTGAGAGCTTAGACATAAAATGAATGGTTTTAAGCTATAGTTTTTAAGCTATAGTGTAGGGTAGGGTGCTGCTTAAGAACAGAGAATCAAAGGGCAAAAGGAATAAAAAACAAATATAGATATCAGGGTTTCATGTTTGAAAAGTAGGAAAAGACCTGAGAGAGCACCCTGAGCTCTGCCTGGGAAGTGAGCAGTGTCCTGGGGCCTGGACCCTGGACCCTGTGCCCGGCCTGGGAAGCAAGCGGAGTCCTGGGCCCTGCCTGGAAGTGAGCGGAATCCTGGGCTTTGGGCCCTGGGCCCTGCCTGGGAAGTGAGCAGAGTCCTGGGCCCTGGGACCTAGGCCCTGGGAAGCAAGTGGAGTCCTGCACCCTGTCTGGGAAGCCAGCAGAGTCCTAGGTCCTGGGTCCTGCCTAGGAAGCCAGCAGAGTCCTAGGCCCTGGGCCCTGCCTGGGAAGTGAGCAGAGTCCTGGGCCTGGGGCCCTGCCTAGGAAGTGAGCAGTGTCCTGGGGCCTGGGCCCTGGGCCCTGCACCCTGGACCTGGACCCTGGACCCTGCGCCCGGCCTGGGAAGCAAGCAGAGTCCTGGGCCCTGAGTCCTGCACCCTGCCTGGAAAGTAAGCAGAGTCCTGGGCCCTGCCTGGAAGTGAGCGGAATCCTGGGCTTTGGGCCCTGGGCCCTGCCTGGGAAGTGAGCAGAGTCCTGGGCCCTGCCTGAGCAGAGTCCTGGGGCCTGGGCCCTGCCTGGGGAGTGAACAGAGTCCTGGGCCCTACCTGGGGAGTGAGCAGAGTCCTGGGCCCTGGGCTCTGGGCCCTGCCTGGGGAGTGAGCGGAGTCCTGGGCCCTGCCTGGGGAGTGAGCTGAGTCCTGGGCCCTACCTGGGGAGTGAGCAGAGTTCTGGGCCCTGCCTGGGGAGTGAGCGGAGTCCTGGGCCCTGGGCTTGCTGCAGATTTGGCTGGGATGCTTCCTTGTGAAGGGTGGTGGAGAGGGACAAGCGGCTTATCTCTGTAGACAAAGGCCCTGCCCAAGTTAGGGAGCCACGCCCACTCCTCAGCCTTGTCTCTGTGAAGGGTAGAAGTTGGCTTTCCAGCATGTTTTCCTCTGTTCCAGACCAAGCTGGAAATGAGTATGACCTGAGTGCCTTAAGCACAGTCCGGAAGCCGTGGACTGCTGTGGACACATCGGCCGATGGGAAGAAGCGCACTTTCTACCTGAGCGTCTGCAACCCTCTCCCTTACATTCCTGGCTGCCGTGGTGAGTGCCCTTGAGAGTGTAGCTAATTCTGGGATTGTTGGAGGGTGGTTCACTCGAGGCCAGCCTTCTCCCACCCACCCACACCCCAAACTTCTCTTCTACCAGGCAGTGCAGTGGGGTCTTGCTTAGTGTCAGAAGACAACAGCTGGAACCTGGGTGTCGTGCAGATCAGTCCACAGGTTGCCGCCAACGGGTCATTGAGTATCCTGTACGTCAATGGTGACAAGTGTGGGAACCAGCGCTATTCCACCAGGATCATATTTGAATGTGCTCAGACGTGGGTACGTGTTCGAATCAGCGAGTGCTGCTAGTGGCCAGTTAACTCCTGTTTTCTTTGTTTTGGGGGCTGTAGTGGGGCCTGAACTCTGGGCCTGGGCACTGTCCCTCAGCTCTTTAGCTCAAGGCTAGTGCTGTACCACTTGAGCCACAGCACCACTTCCGGCTTTTTTCTTTTTGCTTATATGGTGCTAAGGAATCGAACCCAGGGCCTCAGGCACGCAAGGCAAGTGCTCTACCACTAAGCCACCATCCCAGCCCAACTCCTGTTTTCTTGTAGCCTTTGAGTCTTCTGCGTGGTCTAGAGCTTGCCTTTGTTTTCATGTGTGTGACCATTGCGGGGGTTCGATTAGAATGTTCTATTTCCTGCAGGGCTTAGCTGTTTCAGAAATACCATCTGCTTGGCTCCTGGGGGAGAAAGATTGGCTATTAATGGTGGTTACTTTTTGAGTATTACTGCTTTTTAAGATAAGTAGATGGGAAGCACTGAGGCTGTTGTTTTCTTGACAGGGATCACCCACATTCCAGCTCCTGGATGACTGCGAGTACGTGTTTGTCTGGAGAACGGTGGAGGCCTGTCCTGTGGTCAGAGAGGAAGGTGAGCCCGGGCTGTCCTTGGGACACAGCGCACTGCACGGAGCAAAGATGTTCCAGAGAAACCCGAGACAGCGCCTGCTCCTGAGAGATCACGGAGCCCTTTGTATGGGGGTGGCTTCTTATACTTGAGTTTTTACTCTAGCACATTTGCTAATTTTACCAAAGGCTTTTTCCTTGTGTACATGGTTGGATGGACTGTTAGCTTTTTCCATTTGAAAACAAAAAACAAGGTGGGGGGGTTGGAAAGGTCAGACTTGGTTTGCTTGCAGAAGTCGGCCTTTAATCTGTGATGTACCTAGCTTTTCTCCAAAGCTGTCTGCCTGACAGTTTGTGTTATATGTGAACAAGATGAAATAAGATAGAAGTGATTTAATTCCCATTTGGTTAAGAATCATAGAACTCTTTTGCTTGGCGGTGTGAACGTCTGTGTAATAGAGCTGCCCTTGCTTTGCATGTGCTCTTGAAGGAGACGATTGTCAGGTGCAGGACCCCAGGCATGGGAATCTGTATAACCTGAAGCCTCTGGGGCTCCGCGACACGATCGTGAGCGCCGGCGAGTATACCTACTACTTCCGGGTCTGCGGGAAGCTGACCTCCAGCGTCTGCACTACCCACGACAGGGCCAAGGTGGTCTCCTCCTGCCAGGAAAAGCAGGGACAACAGGGCTTCCAGAAAGTGGCAGGTACCTCTGATTTTCTTTTCCACCTGAGTTGAAAAAGAACAGGATTAAACCATTGAGCTGTTGTTGTTTTGGAAGTGACATTGCTGTGCAGTAGGAAAGAATAGCCACACGTTAGTGAGGTCTCCGAGGTCACACATTCCTTAGCAGATACACTGAAGATGAGGAATGCTGCAGAGTGCTTCTGGCTCAGGAGCCTGTCTCTGCCACCTCGGGGACACCCTGCGACTGGCAGTCCAGCATTGGGAGTTGGAGGTGATACCTTCTAGGGCTGAGCTCAGTGTACATTGTTTGGCTATGAATCTGGCAGAGCAGCCAGATGTGATGAGGAGGCTGAGGCAGAAGAACTAAGAATCTGGGTCAACTCGGACTCTTTCTCAAGAATAAACAAAGCAAAGCCTTTGGTCAAATCTCAGCACCTGGGCCAGAACTTGAACGACGAGGTTGAAGAAGCCACGGTTGGTGAGTCTGGCCCTCTTCTGTCAGAGCCGTGGGACAGTGACGCCCTTGCGTGTCCCCACGCCGTGGTTACTCTTCCCAGCTGCTGAGGCGGGAGGAGGCCTGGCTTTGCCTCCCCTGCGGGGAGGTGTGGCCGGGAGCTGGTAGTCCAGGAGGATGCAGCGTTGAGGGTGCATGATGTGACAGGTCATAAAAGAATAATTGTAACAGCCTGGGGCTTGTGCACTGAAGCTTGCTGGATGTGTTTCCTGCACAGGTCTCTTCACTCAGAAGCTGACTTACGAAAACGGACTGTTGAAAATGAACTTCACTGGCGGGGACACGTGCCACCAGGTGTATCAGCGCTCCACCACCATCTTCTTCTACTGTGACCGGACGACACAGAAGGTAGGCAAGTGCCAGTAGAGCCCCAGGGAGCATGCCTGCCCTTCCAGCTGCGGGGGGTGACGCCAGGGTCTCTCCTCCAAAGTCCCTCAGAAACTTAGTTTTGAATATATTACTTAGGGAAAAAAATGCATCAGAACATAAAACCACTTGTGCGGTGTTAGTGGACACACGGCCATTGGAGCCATTTTCTCCCTGTGACTCCCAAGCGGGGACCGGGAAAGCCTGACGTTCCTTCTCAGTCCATCCTCACTTTGCAGCCGGTGTTTCTGAAGGAGACGTCAGACTGCTCCTACTTGTTTGAGTGGCGGACGCAGTACGCCTGCCCGCCCTTCAACGTGACCGAGTGCTCCTTCAAGTAAGATGCATGTGGTGGACCTTGGGCCTTGGACCAGCTTGGTGTGATCTTACTGTGCCAACAGTGACCTGGGTGCAGGATTAGATTAGTCTGCTCCCCTCTGTCACTGTGAAGGGAGCCGGGGCGAGGTGACCGTCACACGTCTGAGGACTCCGGGTCACACGTGGAGGGGACAGCAGTGCATCTGGGGGCTGCCTGGGCCTGATCCTGCCTCCTGCCCCTTGTCCCAACCCCGCTTGTGTCGGGGGCACTGATGAAGGTGGCCTGACCCTTCAAGTGTGGAGGGGTGGGTGAAGCAATGTAAGGAGATGTTACAGAGACCACCAGAACTCAGCGGTGGAGACCGACCCTGTGAGGTTCTGTCCCTGGGCAAGGTTTGGCTTGGGAACGAGGAGCAAGCTCAAACACTCCAGCCTTTCCCGGGTGGAGGGGAGAGCACGTCATGAGCTAACGCGGACCTCACTGCGGCCTCTTCCCATCCTACAGGGATGCGGCCGGCAACTCCTTCGATCTCTCCCCGCTGTCGAGGTACAGTGACAACTGGGAGGCGGTGGTGCGGACCGGGGCCACCGAGCACTACCTCATCAACGTGTGCAAGTCGCTGGCGCCGCAGGCCGCGGGCTCTGGTGAGAGATGGCCCTGCTGAACGGCGCAGTGCTTGGGGGGGTGCAGCCTCGGGAGGCCAAGAAGCAGCAGCAGGGGGCAGAAGGTGTCTGTGACCTGGCCCTGGTGCGGTCCAGGCGCAGTCAGCGCCGAGAGCTCTCTGGGAACTTTTTCTGAACATGAGGTGTCAAATAGAAAGAATGGTGGCATGAAAGTGGGGGGCAGGGAGGGAGGAGAAAGGAGGGGGCGTGAGACCCTGGTGTGGTCACGGGCCTACGGCCAAGGTGAGAACTAGGAACCAGAGGTGTGTGTGGCACCAGGCATGCCCGGAAGGAAGGAGTGCCCTCAGAGTCCTGGGAAGGGTGCTTCCTGGGCATGACGCGGACCCACTGCCCACAGATCTGCTCAGATCTGCGTGCTGCGTTCCTCCTCCTTCCTTCCTCCTCCCCCTCTTCCCCCTTCCCTCCCCCCTCCCCCCTCTTCC